CATCGTCAGATACCGACAAAACGTACGTGAAAATTTATACGATCCCATGGAACGTAGGCGTTACTCGTGGAATCAAGTCAGAGTTTCGTTACAGACAAATTTTTCGTACGGAGGAAAAAGAGAAAAATTAAAATATATATCCTTTCTTTCTTCTCTTTTTCAACTCGTTAGAGATTTCTTTCTTTTTTTTATCGGCAAAAATTTTGGCTTCGAATCGTGTATATATATATATATATATATATCTCGAAATCGGGAGAAAGAACATCGAACAGTTCTCGATAAGTTCACGAGGATATATTAAAAGCTTTGAAAGCAGATATTTTTCATTCTCATTAGCATTTAACTCGAAGCGCCACTTTAACTCACGGTCACGCGTCGAATACAATTCATCGATGTTCGATGAATCGAGGGGAAGGAGAGGTGGGGGGCGAGGAAGGGAGAAGGAGACGACAACGGCAATCGCGATTATTAAAAGTTTCGTTTTACGGCCGAGTCGAATGGGGGCCAAACGCGGCGTATAACCGGCCCGTTTTCGAGGAACCCTGGATCCACCAGGCAGCGCCAGTTTACAAGGCATAAAAGTTATGCGGGTTTCATGGCTTGATACAACTTTCCACATTACTGTAACTAATATCAAGAGTATCCGGGAGAACTCATACGTGCCGTTTCTCCACCCTTAGTCGCGCGAAACCGTGAAACTCGGGTTAAAACCACCCCCTTAATTTTGACCGCGCTTGTTCAAGGGGTTGTGATACAGGGTTTCAAGATCGTTTCTAACACGATAACGATACTTTGATTATTTTGGAGAATTTTTGGATAATTGTTTAAATTCACGTACCTCTTGAGATGCAAGGTAAGTAATTAATTTCGTTTCTTACTCAAGGTAAGTGTGATACAATCATTAATTATATTATAATTCTATTATTGATTGATTGTTTCTCCAGGCTTCATCTTTTTCCTTTCGAAAAATAATATTAGTTTGATTGAAAATATTCTTTGACTCGAATTCGTTCCAAGTGAAGATTGGATAGGATATATTTTATTAGGGTAATTTTTCTAATCAATTACACGTATCGTGTAGGCATTCTAGTACTTCGTGCATAAAAGCAGTCACGTAATTCAAAAATCATACGATACATAATATTATACGAAACGTGTTACTCGATGTTGAAACTCTGATTTTCATCGCCTTTCTTTCTCACTTACTTACGTCATTCAAGCCAACAGAATCGATCAGAATTTTGACAAAATAATTTTCGAATTTTATTATTGATAGAAAGAGAGAAATGGGGGATAAATTGAAAGATGAAACGTTGGCCACTCGTCGCAAGGATATGCAACCCCGAGGTCATTGGCGATGGGGAAATTCGCAGGGCGAAAATATTCAGGGGCGTTTCGTCGTAAAGCTGGGAAAAATATCGACGCTGTAAAGAGCGGGGGGTAGGGGTAGAGGGTAGGACATTTTGTATTCTCTCTACGGAGCTCGAACAACTCGTTATGCGCGGTGAAAAGCATCGACGCGTGTTGTTGAGGAAAATAATTTGTCTCGCGTCGACAGCCTCGAAGGTCTCCCTCCCTCCCTCTCTCTCTCTCTCTCTCTCTCCGTTGCGTGGAAATGGCTGGCTAAGTCGCGTGGCATATATGACATTTACACGGGACGAGGATGCGCATCGATAGATACAGAGGCGGCGAAGGGAGGGTAAGAGAAGGGTGGCGAGGTCGTATCAGAGCCAGTGAAGCCGAAGCCTCATTATTGGGGGATTACGGTTCATTAATTCCGATCCAACGTTCCTCAACTACACGCGAAAAGAAAAAGCCACCCCAAGCGATATCACGGAGGAGGGAGGGAAACGCGCTTTTGAACGCTTTCCACTCCTCGGCTCGTTATGTTTGTACACTTTACCAGTGCAGGTTGTCTCTTTAAAATCCGCGATACAAAAGCGCAGTCTCGTTATACCGGCGCTAGAGGGGTACAAAGTCTTCGTTACGGGGGGGGGGAGGTGGAGGGGGAGAGATGAACTTTGTTGTCCGGTTGGAAACGGTTGGCGGCGGCTTTTGTTACGGCGAAATCGTCGGAAACGAGTCGAACGATGCTTATGATCCTTTCCGATTCTTCGTGGCAAGCTTTATTATTCGTTCTTTCAGCAGCCTTCCTTTCCTCCATTTTCCCTCCCCTTTTGCGAGTGTAATAGTGTAATTTCATTTTTTCCTCTCCCTCGAGAATACGAACAATGGCATTGTTAATGTAATTAAAATTAAATTGTTATTCCAATTGTTTGACGAGATTTCTATAATAATAAAATATAATAATAATAATAATAATAAAAATATTATCGAATCGAATCGAACGAATCCAGCCGAATTAACGCGTTTGGGACGAGGGAAAAATTGCCCCTCTCCCTCCCTCGCCCCCTAGTGGCCCTTTGAGACGGGATAGAAATCTTTGAAAGTGAAGGCACGGGTCAGAGAACCGCGATATTGCGTCGGAGCCGGGAACGGGAATGAAGCAATTACCTATTGATTGGAGGTTCTCCCGTTAGCTGCGCCATCACACTTGCCAATTCGCCAGCTGGTAATTTCAATGGGTACAACTGGAACCGCAAGACCGGCCGATTGCCCCTTGTCCACGCGATCCTCCCTCCCTCCGAAACTATCCAATTCTCCGCCGCGCTTCGAGTTACAAGTTTCGCACCTCGCTCGAGGGAAAAAAAAAAAAAAGAAAAAAGTACTCGCTTTGAACTATTTTCAATTTGATCTCGTTACAACGAGGATACGGCAAAGGAAGTTGAAACACGATTTCACGGATTCCCGATACTCGAGCCGAGTAACAAATTTTTGAATAATAATAGAGTTTAAGGTTGATCCTTTTTTTAACAGTTGTTGTTAGAACGTTAGAACGCAGATACGCTAATCGAATTCCACAAAAAGAAACATTTGAGAAAATTAATCAATCCAGTATGAATTATTTCGTTTCCAATGTAGATTATTAGATTTTCTTTTCAAATAAGTATTAATTAAAATTTTTCTTATTTTCTTAAGTCGAGGATTCTTTTTCATCTTGTTTACGACCTCCTGAAAATTTGTGTTTCAAGGCTTATCCAAGGGAAATTTTTACTCGAGTTATATTTATAGATAGAAGATATCAGTATCCGCTTGGAAACTGTTGAAGGATGTTTTGGTAAGAAGGGACTCCCCGTAATTACGAGGGTGGCCCCGTAAAATTTGAAGAGCAATCAATTCGAGGA